GGGTGAGGAACCAGTGACCCACCCGACCACCCCTCTGAAATGGGTCAAGGGGAACCCTGGGGCAGGACACCCTGCTGAGAGTCAGAGCCCTGAACTATTAAGAAAAAAAAGAAGAAGAAGAAGAAGAAGAAGAAGAAGAAGAAGAAGAAGAAGACCGGGCAGGGTGGCTCATGCTTGTAATCCCAGCACTTCCGGAGGCCGAGGCGGATGGATCACGAGGTTAGGAGTTCAAGACCAGCCTGGCCAACATAGTGAAACCTTGTCTTTACTGAAAATACAAAAAGATTAGCTGGATGTAGTGGTGGGCGCCTGTAACCCCAGCTACTTGGGAGGAGAATCACTTGAACCCAGGAGGCAGAGGTTGCAGTGAGCTGAGATTGCACCACTGCACTCCAGCCTGTGCAACAGAGCTAGACTCCATCTCAAAAACAAACAAACAACAACAAAAAACACTGCACAATGGAGGTCTATACAGGGCCACATGGAAGAAGGGAGACCCACATGGAAGGAGATGATCATGAGGCCAGGTGAGAACCATGCAAAGGGCAATTGCAGGGGCTGGTCTGAGGTGTGGGAGGAATTAAGTCAGTAAGGCAGGCTGTGCATTTTAGAGAAAGCTGCCTGTGTCAAAGGCTTACAGGTGCACACATTCACAGCATGGCCTCCACTTCATGCATCAGAAAATAATGATAGACCTAGCTTTGCACACACACAGGGATTTGACCCAGATGAGACCTTAGTCCAAATCCAGTACCACCCATGGAAAAGTATCTCCCTAAGGGCCCCAGTGTCCTTGGGACATAATACTTTTGCGAGGAATAAGTAAAGGGACATCTGTAAAGTTCTTGGTGTCATGGCCAGCCTGGTAAGTGCCCAGCACCCATCTGCTGCCACTATCATAATGTGTGCAGGCCAAGGAAGAAATGGACAGGAGACTTCCACATGGGGACCATGCTCATCTCTGGGAGGCAACATTGGTGATGATGTGTGTTTTCCATTTTCATTCTCTTCTGTGGTTTCCTCCTTGTACCACAATGAGCAGAAATTACTGTTTTGACAGAAAGTAAAAAGTATCATATGTCACCTTATGCAGGTGTGCCCAGGTGTGAGTTCCTTTTGCATTAAGGACTCCACTGTACCTGGCTTTGGTTAAGATCCTTCACCATCTTGGCCTCAGTCTCTTCCACTGTACCGTGGAGATTGGGGATTACCTCAGACAGCTGATGTGTGAGGGTTACATGAGATGACAGTGGCTGAGTTTGTGAGTGCACATTGACTTTGCAGGCTCAGTACCACTGCATCAGATTATAATGGAAGATTTCTTAGCTCTGCACCAGGTGCCCAGTAAACATGTAGCGATTGTCAGGTTATATTAGTAGAGTTACATTTTCTCCACCAAGTGCAAATTCAGTTTCTTCTTCTGTGCCTTTTGTGACAGTGAGCTCACTTATCTTACTTTCCAGATGCAGCAGAAATGCCTACATTCGGTCCAGCTCCATTCTGCATAGTGACATGTCTACCCCACCCCACTTTAATGAGAAAACCAGCTCAGTAAGGTGAAGTAACCTCCCAGGGGTCACACAGCAAGCAACAGTTCATCAAATGCCCCAGGCTCATTCAACTGAGTAGGGGAGGCCCCATCAGAGCCTACTGTGTGCTGAGCTGGGCCTGTGAACCTTGTTTCTTCCTGAAAGCTGCTCTGCAACAGACGACTGTGTCCTCATTGAATAGGTGAGGAAGGAAGTTGCCTTGCAGAGGTGGAAATCCAGAGAACCTAGTCAGCGTCAGTGCGGTTTCTCCCACCTAAGCCTGCATAATTGTCACAGTAGCTACCTTTCTGCTCTCAATCTCCCTGCTTCTGCCCAAGGCCCCTGCAGTCTTTTCTGACCTCAGCGGTAAGCCAGAGTGATTTGTTTAAACCAAGATCGCAGTCCTGTGAGAATTTGAGTAATGGAAACCATGCCAGTCTAGGAAGAAGAGTGCATCAAGATCTGATCTGGGCCTTCCCTTTCCTTCTAACTTTCTCATCTCCTCCATTCCCTCCCAGTTGATGTCTGCTTTGGTCAATGGCACTGTGGCCCCAGCACCACGTTACCCATCTTTAGAAGCTTTTCCGTGGGCGGGCTTCTCATATCCAGTAAACCTTTTGTGACCCTATCTCTCCCCTATCACCAAACCCCAGATCCCCTCTTATGCCTCCTCACTTCCTCTCCTTCTCTCCTGTAATTGCTTCTCCCTCTAGCCTCAGTATTAACCCAGGGCAACCTAGAGGTCTGGAGGTGTAGGTGCGAAGTGACCCTGGGATGAACACACACAGATTCATGAGACTCTGCAATTCCTAGAGGGTAGAGAGTGGGACCTGTTATCACCAACGTGAGGACTTTCCCACAGGACAGGTGACTTAATGAGTAGCAAATGTGACCAAGAGATACCATTTTACCAGGCAGACAGTGAAGGGGCAGAAGAGAGGAGGGCTGGAAGAACCTTTTCTGTTTTCTCCCTGATCCATTTATCTCTGTCCTAACCGAAGACCTGCAGGAGAGGCAGTGACTTGCCTAAGGTCACAGCACCTTGGAGGAGACAAAGCCAGGACTACAGAGAGAGCTTGGGGAGGCATTGGGTCTCTGTTGACGATTCCTAACGCTGGCTCATCCCTGCCTTATCTTGGGGTAGTGGGACTATCCCGTGGATCCCCCAGAGAAGACAGGCGAGAGTCCAACGCCAACACGTGTCCACAAAGGTCCCCTGGTCCACGAAGCGGGAGAAACTTGTCACCAGGCAAAGGTGGCATACACTGAGACGCGAGGTAAGGCTCACTGCTCGCGACAGGCGTCCCGCGACTGGCGCATGCGCATCCGCGAGGCAGGCGCTGGGACCAGGCTGTCAGGGCTGTCAGCCTGCCTGAGCAGAGGAAAATGGGACAGGCAAAGTCGGCCTAGTCTCGGGAAAAAGCTGCCTGCGACAATGACTGTGGAAGCCTAAAAGTAACGACCATACGGCATCCTTGGGCCGTCTCATTAGTCGGGTCCCGCTGGAGGAAGAGGCGATTCCAGTGGGCTCTGGGAACAGCTCTTTGGACTCCATTCCCGGAAGAGTCTGTGTGCAAGAATCCGGTCCCAGGAAGAAGGGAATACAGTCTGGTGAGTTGTTGAGGGATCTCCGGGTGATGGAATCACACCTGAGACCCCAGAGGAGAGTGTCAGCGGAAGATTGCGGGGCCCTTGAACTCACTGTCTCCCTTCATCCAGGGCCTCCCAGGAGCTCCTGCTTCTCAGTAGGGCTGTCTGGGTTAGGGAGAAACGACAATAAAGGCAAGTCCAAGGTGGAGAAGAGGTCTCACACCTGGAACTGGCATCCAACAAGGGCACATAGGGTTGAGAGAGTGTTTCATAAACCGTCTGGTGTGATTGCAAGCCTGAAAAGGGTGCCCAGGAGTGCTGTTGAGGGGCACTGTGGATTCCCCATGAAAGCAAAGGGAAATAAAGGCTCAAATGGGAGAATGAGAGGGTTTGTGCTGGAGTCAAACCCAAGTTCGTGGATTCTTGCCAGAGGACCCAAGAGACTCGTGTAAAGTGCAAAAAACCCCAGCCCCCAAAATGAGACCACCACCCACAACCTGGAGGGCAGTCAAACTACCGAAAATCCCTTGAGCTCACTAAAATCCCTGGCAAGCAAAAGATCTGTGGCGAGAGGCAGTCACACCCAGCCCAAGAAGAACCAACTCCACAATGAGAAAAGACATGCAGATGAAACGAAAGAGAGCCTAGATTACCAGGCAAAAACCAGACTTGGCTGCCTAGGTCTCATCATATAGGAATCATACTGTACTCCTATAGAAGTGGGAGAACAAGAGTTTCATTGTTGGCGGATATAACGGGAATTTACTGTTCCAAAAGTATCACAGCTGCCTAGTCCTTAAAACCTGACAGTGTTTAGAAGAAAACAGTCATACAATGGTCCCCGTGAGGGTCGTCCTCCGTGAACAGCGAAACGTTGACTGTGGAAGTCTTTGAGCCAGACCCAGGAAACCCTAGGCCCACCAGAAACATGGAAGTCAGGAAAAGAGGAGGCCGGTTTGCAGGGCACATCCCAGCCAGCCTCAGTCCATCCCACTCCCATGTGTTTCCGGAATGACAGCCAAAATTGGGAGCTGGCCAGAATGGCCCAGGTTTGCGCTCCAACTGTTCCCCGGGATGTTGGAGTCCTCCCACCTGGGCACTGGGCCATGGTGTGGACGGCCTGTGCGATGAAGGGAACGCAGGGGTGGAGTGGGAAGTACCTTCTGTATCATCTGTTGAAGGGGGCCAGGCCTCCACACCTGTGGGTATTTCTCCTCAGGTAGGATGAGAGACTGAGAAAAGAAATAAGACACAGAGACAAAGTATAGAGAAAGAACAGGGGACCCAGGGGACCTGCGCTCAGCATATGGAGGACCTGCACCATCACTGGTCTCTGAGTTCCCTCAGTATTTATTATTATTTCCACTATCTCAGCAAGGGAAATGCAGCAGGAGAGCAGGGTGATAGTGGGGAGAAGGTCAGCAAGAAAACATGTGAGCAAAGGAATCTGTGTCACAAATAAGTTCAAGGGAAGGAACTATGCCTAGATGTGCTCGTAGGCCAGATTTGTGCTTTTCTCCACCCAAACATCTCAGTGGAGTAAAGAGTAACAAAGCAGCATTACTGCCAACATGTCTCGCTTCCTGCCACAAGGCAGTTTTTCTCCTATCTCAGAACTGAACAAATGTACAATCGGGTTTTATACCGAGACATTCCATTCCCAGGAGCAGGCAGAAGACAGAGGCCTTACTCTTATCTCAACTGCAAGAGGCCTTCCTCTTTTACTAATCCTCCTCAGCACAGACCCTTCACGGATGTCAGACTGGGGGCCGGTCAGGTCTTTCCCATCCCACAAGGCCTTATCGCAGGCTATCACATGGGGAGAAACCTTGGACAATACCTGGCTTTCCAGGGCAGAGGTCCCTGTGGCTTTCCGCAGTGCATTGTGCCCCTGGTTTATTGAGAATGGAGAATGGAGATGACTTTTACCAAGCATACTGCCTGTAGACATTTTGTTAACAAAGCACATCTTGCATAGCCCCAGATCCCTTAAACCTTGATTCCACATAATACATGTTTCTGTGAGCTCAAAGTTGGGGCTAAAGTTACAGATTAACAGCATCTCAGGGCAAAGCAATTGTTCAAGGTACAGGTCAAAATGAAGTTTCTTGTCTTCCTTTTCTACATAGACACAGTAGCAGTCTGATCTCTCTTTCTTTTCCCTACATATCCCCCTTTTCTTTTTGACAAAACCGCCATCGTCATCATGGCCCGTTCTCGCTGGTCACTGTCTCTTCGGAGCTGCTGGATACACCTGTAGACTAACAACAGACAGAACAGACATACAAGGATTAATATGAAACTTACAATAGTGGAACACCTGATGGTTTTAACCCAAGTGACAGTGCTAAGATTTGTGAGGCCATCAGCAGCTTTGATGATTGCCTCAGTTTCTGGCACCAGATTTAAATGGGCTTTTGATGCCTCAAAAATTTGTCATTTTAATTTTGAAATATCCAAAGTAAGATTATCTTTTCTTCCTTGTAGATGGCATCCAACCATGTCCCAGTGATGCTCAGACTCATTATAGGCTCGGGGTGTAGTACAAAAATCTGACATATTCCAGTCACACTGTAACTGAAAAAGATATTCCAAGCTCATGAGCCTATCTCCCATCCAAATGATGGTTTGTCTAAGATCATTAATTTGGTTTGCCAATTTTTGATCTATTTGGGTCTGAGAATTCCACAATTTTGAGGAATTCTTTTGCCAATTATTTACATATTCTGCAGTTTGAACAGAGGAGTATAAAGCAATTCCAGCAGCCGCAGCAGTAGCTGTGACTGCAATAAGACCCACAATCACTGCAGTTAGAGTAAAAATGAATCTTTTGGATCTAGTTAGAACTCTTTTTAATACTTCTGTTATAATATGGACAGATGGGGAAACCTCCCACGGTTGGTCCATGGACACACGGATTCACACGCCCTCTCTTGCCCTCACCAGCAGAATATGGTGCTGCCAATCAAAAGTCGAATCAATGCAAGTAAGCAATCTACAATTTTCACAGGCTATAGTTTGGGAATCTCGTTTAATAACTATGTTTCTTACAACTAGCATATGAGGAGGTTTTACACAACTTTGCAAAGGAATTGTCAGATTGGAATTTAGGTTAGTAGTATAATATGGCTTATGATCTCTTGTTCCTATAGCTTGATTTCCAGACAAAATTCTAATGTGGTGCGAGGCCACAGTAAGCTTCCATAATTCCGGATGTTCAGGACCAGTAGCAGGACTAACTAACTTCGGTCGAGGTGATGAAATTCCCTTTTCACCCCATTTCCATGGATAGGGTGATTTTAACTTTCTGTAAACCTGGTCCAGTCTTTTAGTTAAATCACTATCATAGGCTGGATTAGCGGGCCAGATGGATAGGGCCTGTGAACATGAGTGAGTCTGTCCCATACAATTATAATAAAATTGGCCTCGAGGGGCCCAGTCTATAATAGTTCCAAATTCATTGTTTTGTAATACCACCTCAGTATCAGCCACACATTCTTCCCAAACTAAAACTTCTGGGCTTTTTGATTCTTTGGGAATTTTCTTGGGGCAAAGCTTCCTCTTAGGCCTAAATTTTAATGATCTTTGATAAGAAGAGTCCTGTAAGTTATTCATCTGTGGCCCGAGTGACATTCCACTTATCATGTGATAGGTAAATCTACTGGTGGCACTGACAGTAGGTACTTCTACCAACCAATTTTGGGTTGTAGACATTAAACATCCTGGTGCCTTCCCTAGGCAAATAGGAGGATAATGATACCCAATGGAAATATTTGTCATCATTCCTTCTTCAGGTTGGGCAGGGCAACTATCATCTGTGAGGCCTGGTACCCATGCACTATTATTAACATATACTTCAATAGGATTATCCATCCAAGTGACTGCCTGAATTAAGGGCGGGAAAGGCACATAGGCCCAGTAAGTATAATTAGCTGCATCTGCTCCTGCAGTCACAGGGAGACTTACCACCATTGATACAATCATCAAAGCTGCAGACAGCATATTCTCTGGAGTTCATTCTACCCTTGTGTTCTTCAGGCTTTTTTCAGCTAACTGTGTCAGCTTCTTCAATTGGGCCCAGGTCGGCGGCTCTGCTTTCTTGGTGGATGGCAACTTTATCTGTTCTTCTGATATCACCATTTTGTTTATCTGGCAAGTTGATGATGCTCGATTGTGGGTTTTCTGTCTCCGCAGAGGCGATTCTCTTTGCATCTCCGATGGGTTCATTGTAGAACTTTAAATGTCTAGTGGGTATCCAAACAGGAAGTTGATTTTCTCCTGGTGAAACACAGGCAAAGCCTCTCCACTATGTTATCACTTTCTCTATTTCTCATGTCTTATTTTTGTTGTCTTTCCACCAAATCAGTTTTCCTTCATGTGGTCCTTTTTTTTTTTTTTTTTTTTTTTTACCAGTAAAATGTTGCTCTGCAGAAGTAGTGGTCTGATTTCTATAAATGTTTAAAAAATTTAAAGTATGGAGTGCTAAATTAAGTTGCATCTGGAGAGTGTTACACTCCTTACTGTCTTTTTCCTTTTTTTGTTTCACCACCTGAGCTTTGAGTGTTCTATTAGTTCTTTCAATTATGGCCTGTCCTTGGGAATTATAGGAGATTCATGTTGTATGTGTAATTTTCCACTGATTTAAGAATTTTTGAAATGTTTTACTACACTATCCTGGCCCATTATCTGTTTTAATATTTTTTGAACTCCCATGACAGCAAAACAAGATAACAGATGTCTTTTAACATGGGAAGTACTTTCTCCCGACTGGCAGGTTGCCCATACAAAATGTGAATAAGTATCAACTGTCAATGGACAAATGACAATTTTCCAAATGAAGGTACATGTGTGACATCCATTTTCCGTAACGCATTAGGGCACAGACCTCTGGGATTAACTCCTGCCTCCTGAATGGGCAGGTGTAGGACTTGACACTGGGTGCAACGTGGTACAATATTTTTTGCCTGTTTCCATGTGATAGCAAATTTATTTTTTAGTCCTATTGCATTTACATGTGTCAAGGCATGAAGTTCTTGTGCTTCTATGAATGCATATGATTCTAGCAAGTCAGCTTGTTCATTTGCTTTAGTTAAAGGCCCTGGTAAATTAGTATGTACTCGAATATGAGTAATATGAAATGGGAAATTTCTTTTTCTTACAGTTTGTTGTAAGAAATTAAACAGCTGATTTAGCTGATCATCCATACTATATTTGATTAGGGCTGTCTCAACATCCTTTGTAGCCTGTACTACATATGCAGAATCTGATACAAAGTTAATAGGCTGATTAAAATCTTGTAACACTGAAATGACGGGCAACCAACTCTGCTCTTTGAGCTGAGTGATATTGAGTTTCAATGACTCCTTTTTTTGGCCTAGTGTAAGCGGCTTTTCCATTGCTGGAACCATCAGTAAACACTGTCAGAGCATTTTTTAAAGGGTTATGTCTGGTAATTTTAGGTAAAATCCAAGTAGTTAATTTTAAAAACTGGAAGATTTTTGTTTTTGGGTAATGATTATCAATACTTCCCACAAAATCAGCAAGGCCAATCTGCCATGCACCAGAATTGATAAAGGCTTGTCTAACCTATTCCTTGTTTAAAGGAACAATGATTTTTATCTGGGTCACTTCCACACAATTTTATTATTCGTAATCTTGCCTGACCAATTAATGTAGCCATTTGATCCTAGTACAATGTAAAAGTCTTAATCGTACTGTGAGGAAGGAAAGATCACTCCACAAGATCTGTATTTTGAACAATAATGCCTGTTGGAGAATGTGCAGTAGTAAAAATCAAAAGTTGGAGTGGGGCTAAGTGATCTATTCTATTTACTTGTGCTGACCGAATTTTTTCTTCAATTAATTCAATTTCTTTAGTTGCATCTGGAGTTAATGTTCTTTTACTATTCAATTCTGGATCCCTTCTCAAGATAGAGAACAAATTTGACATGGCATAAGTAGAGATGCCTAGAGTTGTCCGAATCCAGGTAATATCTCCTAGCAATTTTTGAAAGTCATTTAATGTTTTTAATGTGTCTTTTCTTATTTCTATTTTTTGTGGTTTAATTTTTCTTTCTTCTACCTGCATTCCCAAGTAATGGAAAGGAGTAGAGGTTTGAATCTTATCAGATGCTATTGTCAGTCCTGCGTTTGTAACCTCTGTCTGCAGAAATGTGTAACAGTCAATTAATTTGTTTCTCGTTTCTGCAGTACACAAAATAACATCAACATAATGAATGATATGACAGTCTGAAAACTTGTCTCTAACTGGTTGAAGTGCTTGAGTTACAAAAGTCTGACAAATAGTCGGACTATGAAGCATTCCCTGAGGCAACACTTTCCTCTGAAACCTGGTAGCTTGTTCTTTATTATTTATGGCTGGTACAGCAAAAACTAATTTTTCAAAATCCTGTTTTGCAGATAAATGATAAAAAAAGCAATGCTCAGATCAATTATAATTAAAGGTCAATCTTTGGCGATAATGGCCGGAGAGGGCAACCCGGGTCGGAGAGCCCCCATAGGTTGAATTACAGCATTGAGGGCTCTTGAGTCAGTTAGCCTGAGCCATCTGCTGGATTTTTTCTGAATTACAAACACAGGAGAATTCCAAGGCGAAAATGAAGGCTCAATGTGTTCCTTTTCTAATTGTTCTTTTGCCAATAAGTGTAAAGCCTCCAGCTTTTGTTTTGGTAGCGGCCACTGATTTACCTATACAGGTTTTTCTAAGTTAATGGAATGGGTTTTGGAGGCTCTACAGTGGCTACTCCTAAAAAGCATACCCTATTCCTTTTCTTTCTTGATTTCTCTCAACTTCAATTGGGACTTTAATGCCATCTCCATTCTTCCCTGGTCCTTTGCCAGGGAGATATCCCATTTTAGTCATGATGATTTTTTGACTCGTGGGGCTGTATAGAGAGGCTGGGATAGTAATCTCTGCATGCCATTGCTGTAACAAGTTTCAGCCCCATAAATTAATTGGAATAGAAGTAATCATAGGTTGAACCGTGTTTTTTGATTATCAGGTCCTAGACAATGTAAAATCATGGCACTTTGATACACTTCTGAGGCGATGCCCACACCGACAAGTCCTGTAACAGGCTTTTGTTTAGTCTATTTTTTTTGGCTATTGATTTAGGGCTCCCTGAAGTGGTGGTATTTGCTGTGGGGGTTGCTGTCCCTGAAAACTCTGAGGAACAAATGGCTGAATCAGGAACGCCCCAGTTCGTTGCAGGGCCTGAGGCTGGCTCTTCATTCTGTTTCCCGACAATAGTTGCCCATTTTAATCAAATTTAGAATGACATTGATTAGCCCAATGTTTTCCTTTTCCACATCTTGGACACAGGCCAGGTGGCTCTTTATTTTTACTCTGTTTATTTAAGACTGGGCAGTTCTTTTTTAGATGATGGATTTGACCACAATTATAACATTTCCCCCAAATGTTCTAACTTATCCTCCTAAAATGACTCCCATCATTGCTTGAGCCATTAGCATTGCCTTAGGCATAGCTCCTCTAATCCCATCACAAGCCTTCACATACTCTGTAATTACATCAACTCCTGCTGGAACTTTTCCTTTTAATGGCTTTATGGCCGATTGACATTCTGGATTTGCATTTTGATAAGCCATTAGTTCTACAATACCTTTTTGGGCGTTATCATGTGAAATAGATTTTTCAGCGGCATCTTGCAACCTTGCCACAAAGTCTGGATATGACTCTTTAGAGCCTTGTTTAATTGAATTAAAAGAAGGGCAAGTGACTCCTGGATCCTGATTTTTTTTCCCAGACCCTGAGGCAATTAGCCCTTAGTTGTTCAATAGCCTCATTCTACATTACCGATTGTTGGTTAACGGTGCTCCAATTTGGACCTGTTCCTAGCAATTGGTTGGCATCTACATTAACAGCAGGGTAAGTATCCTGATTTCTTCGTACCTGTTCTTGTACTCCATCAATCCACAAGGTTTTACATTGTAGGAACTGAGAGGATGAAAGGGAAGATTTAGCCAAAATTTCCCAAACTTAAGGAATAAGTTTATTTCCATGAGCAAGGGGATCTAATAATGTTCTCATATAAGGGGAGTTGGGTCCATATTGTTAAATTCCTTCCTTCATATCTTTTAACATCTTCATGGTGGAATATTAATATCTAGCCTCAGTTGGGACAGACGCTCCTTCTTGACTCCCTTTCCCGCAGATATTGGTTGTAAAATTATCGGGAACTGCCATGCCTCAAGATCTCCCTGTTTTCTGGTTTTATCAATGATTTCATGCAGTGTAGTACTGTGGCCACTAGGTGGTAGTGTAGGATTAAACATCACCGCCATGGCTTGATGGTATGGGGCCTTGCTATTTGGCGAAGGACACACCACTTGAGGTCTGTATTGAACCTCTGGAGATTGCCCGTACTGAAGCACAGCTGGCAGCCAGTACTGATAAACTACCGGTGGTTGGGTTCTATTTCACAGCGGCTGATATTGTGGATATTGTAGTTGGATTGGCATTGCCAGGATAGAAACTCTATTCTGTTCTACTTGATATTCTCTTGGGTTTGCACTTGTCTAACCTGAATTTCAGGTTGCAACGTTACAGATCAACAGCATCTAAGGGCAAAGCAATTGCTTAGGATAGAGGTCAAAATGGAGTTTCTTACGGCATCCATTTCCACATAGACATGCTAACAGTCTGATCTCTCCTTCTTTTCCCTATAATCTCTCAGAAACTGTTTAGCAGGTGAAGGTGCGGGATCCACCCATACCTCACCAGATTGCATCCTCCCCCATATGACCTAACTGGTGCTCACATTCTTTGTCCACCGAATGAAATCCCAAGACCATTGAGGAGTGCCTGCATCACGAAGTGAAGTGCCTGCTCGGTTGGGAACAGAATTCGAGGGGGATTCGAGGAGCCCTGAGCACAGGACTGCTAGGGTCTGGCCCCGGTTTGGCCACAGGAAAAAGAGACACTTGGAGGTTTCTCTTATCGGGTGTGCTGTGCTCTCTTCTTTCTAGAAGAGTTGCTGCTTTGGAGGGGGAGGTGCTTTGGGCTCCTGCGAGCCTCAGTCAACCCCCAACTCACCGAGGATTCAGGAACCACGGGAAAAAAAACGACACGGAGACCCGCAGAACAAGAAGAGACTCACAAGGAGGCTAACCAGAAGGTGGGGCGACTCGAGGGGAGAAAGTAAAATTAATTTTAACAAAAGGGCTGCAGTGCTTGAGCCATCTTCCTATCGGCAGACGCCACGTACACGCAAAAAAGCACACACACACACACACAGCTCACCCGGAATTCAGGAACCACGGAAAAAAATAAAGAACATGGAGACCCGGAACCCAAGAAGAACCTCACAGAGAGGCGGACCAGAAGGTCGGGCGGCTCAGGGTAGGGGGAACATAAAATGAAAAAAAAAAATAAGGGCTGCAGTGCTTGAGCCATATCCCTATCAGCAGACGCCACGTACACGCACACAGCACACAGGCCCACACAGACACACGCCCACACACACGCGCGCGCGCATACACACACACACCCCAACACACACACACACACAGTGCCGCCTACACACACGGGCAGCCAACACTCGAAACAATCCCGCACAAATACACCTCCCGGCACCTTCTCAGGCTCCGCGGTTCTGCTCCGCCAGGAAGCCCCTCCCAGGAGAGGGCACCCCGAGAACACAGGCGTGCTGTAGTCAGAAATCACGGGGGAAGGGAAGGAGCAACGTTTAAGGAGACTCACCCCCACTCGGTCTGGGCAGGCTTGACGTATGGCGCGGATCCTTTTGGATCCTTAGGGATTTCGCGGTGGATCCCTGGGCCTTCCCCTGACGTTTCCTCAGGCTGGATTGCCCCTGCCCTGTCCTAGATGGTGGGACTATACTGTGGCTCCCCCAGAGAACACAGGCGGGAGCCCAACACCGACGCCCATCACAGAGGTCCCCCCTCTCCGCTAAGCCGCAGGGACTCGTCGCCAGGCAACGAAGACCTTCACTGTGACGCAAGCCAGGGCTCAGCACTCGCGCCGGGTGCCCGGCCACTGGCGCATGCGCACTCGAGGGGCTGGCTCGGGCGCCAGGCTGGCATGGTTGTCAGCCTGCCGAAGCAAGGAACATGGTGCAGGCAGAGCCGGCCTGGTCTGAGGAAAAGGGCTGCCTCCGACCACCATTGCGGGCCGAGAAAAGTCTCCCCCAAAGGGCCTCCCGAGGCCGTCTCCGTGGTCGGCTCCCCCTGGATTAGGAGGCGATGGGAGACTGCCAGGAGGGCGCTGGAACGGCTCTGTGCAGGAATCGGGTCCCAGAGGGTTGGGAATGCAGTCTGGTGAGTCGTTGAGGGCTCTCCGGCTGATGGATGAATACCTGAGACCCCAGAGGAGGGTTGCGGGACCCTTGAGCTCACTGCCTCCCTTCATCCTGGGCTGTTTAGGGACTCCTGCTTCTCAGCACGGCAGTCGGAGAGAAGCGAGAACCACGACCAAGGGAAGGACACGGTGGAGAAGGGGTCTCACCCCTGGAACTGGCATCCCACGGGGGCACGTGAGGTGGAGAGAGGGTCTCAGAGGCCGTCTGCGGCGATTGCAAGATTGAAGTGGTTGTCCACCAGTGCTGTTGAGGGGCACTGTGGATCCCCCGTGAGAGCAAAAGAAAAGGAAGACCCGCCTGGGAGAACAAGAAGGTTTGTACTGGAGTCCAAGTCAAGTTCACGGATTCTTGCCAGAGGAATCAAGAGCCTCCAGCGGAGTGCAGACAAACCCGGGCCCTACAAAGAGACCACGACCCACGACCTGGACTGAAGTCAGCCCACTCCAAGAGACTTGTGCCCCCTGAAGTTCCTGGCAGCCAAAAGATCCGAGGCGAGAGGCCGTTCCACCCAGCAACAGCCC